CACTCTCACACACATTAATACCTAGCGTCCCACCCGGGCCTCACCTCACCTCCACTCTCGCTGTCTGTCGTCACCACCACCACCACCACACACGACCACCACCGTGTGCTCTGGTCTCCCGATCAACAATACGGCCCTAGAAAGCTATACGCCTATAAGGTTGCTCCTGTTGGCACAGTCAACACAGGCCGGGCGGGCCACGAGAGTAGGCTTGGTAGCGAGAGCTTTCTCACAATTTCGCCTGTTCTTATCAGTCACGCCAAGTCTGTTTGTTTTCCTGTGTTCAGGGTACGACCGTAGCGTACGACCGTAGCGTACGACCGTAGCGTAGAGTAAAGGCTACTATCTTCGGTACAAGTATAAAAGGGCTTTCTATTGGCCTCTCTCACCCGAGACACAAACTTGGGACTTCATGTTTTTAGCTGTTGCCTACCAGGTGTATTAAAATTTAGGCCTGTAGTCTAATACTGTTATTATTATTGTATTATTACTAGACCTATTCGTGGAGCATGGAAAGGATTTACTTGTCAATTGTAAGTATGATTGTATTATTTAGATTCTAGTTCAGTTCCAAAGTGATCGCCGGTGTCTTTCGTCCAGTGGCTGCTAGTGGTTGACGGGTGTTTAAAGGTGTGGTTTGCTCCTTCTTTCCTATCAAACATCTCGTCAGCCTGATCTCTCCTCCTTCTTAATTGTGTTTGTTACTCTCTTGTAACACCTCTAAATCTTTGGCAGTTAGATATCTATATGATCTATATGACGTTATTGTGTTGCAAGTGCTGTAAAACTCCTATTAAAACTAAAACTGAAAAAAGTCTAGACAGTCTAGTGTCTGTCTCTTATTACGCTAATCTAGATATCTAGATAGAACGTCTAAAAGCGATATATATATCATATACTTCCTTCAGTTAGAAATGTAGGCCTGGTGTATTCTATGTCCTTACTTTGTTTGGGCGCTTGTTGTGGGTGCTTGTTGTGGGTGTGGGGTTTTCATCGATGGACATGTATATGTACGGTCGAAGCTGTTTGTAACGGTCACCCTCATTGTCGAGGATAAAAGTGGCCGCCTGGGACAGGTCGTGGTTGTTTGATACTGTATCACAGAATATAACATAAAACGCTTTGGGGGGGGGGGGGGATTGCTGTTTTCACAGGTGGTTGACTTATACTGGTGGCCGTTAGAGCAGGTATTATTTAGGCCATTCCCAAAGGGGGGACATTTCCAATTTCCCGTTCTAATGCACAGTAGAATTGTAAATGGGCTGATCCAACAATGTCATGCTCATAACTGTGCCTGAACTACAACAGGGAACTGCTGCTTTTTCTTTCCTAATTTCACTGTCTTGTGACCCGCTATTTCCGGGGTGCCCTGATAGTCGAAGTCTTTGCAGACTTTGTGTTGTTGAGGCTAGAGAATTAAGCAGAGTAAGCTTGATTCCCTGTAAGGGCTTCTCTGTTACCATCCACCCCTTGGTGCTCATATGACCGTATGCAGTTGCGACCGCCGTAAAACGTATACTAAAACTAAACATAATAGGACTGTACTTGACCAAACGTTTGTGGGCAGTTGAACGTGCGTGTTCTATCAACCGTTAGCCCATAGTGGGTCGTTATCTTTGTTTGATCTGAGATCGAGAGTACAGGTTAAGTGTCCCCAGTAATTCATGTGGGCTAATTACAAGTGTGTGTGTGTGTGTGTGTGTGTGTGTGTGTGA